CTGAAGGTCGTGAGACAGCTGGTACCATCTCAAACTGCCTAAAGCTTCTACCGCCCGTAGCAACTTGTCTCGCTCTCGCACTATGAATAATCAATTCCCCTGCACAAGAATTTCGCTCGTATTTGATAAGCAAAGCTTCCTCCTTTACGAAGTCAACAGGACTATCGACAACGCATCTTTTGAAAGATAATCTCAATAAAATATAAATTTGTGCTGTTACTGTAGAACCCACTTATAGATCAGGTGGTGATCCAGCGGATCACTGCGAGAGATAAGCCGATGAACTGAGGCCTGATGAGGCATGCACAATGTAACACAGTCAGACTAATCCACGCGTCATATGAGGAAACCGCACTTTTCAGTATGAAGAGTAGAAGAAATAGATAGTTCACTTTAATTGCATCCAGTATACGAACCTCGCCTACCAACTGCACGGAATGTCAAACAGCGTAGCAAGCTTCCCCCCACTCAGTTTGCATGACTAAAGGCGAAATAAATGCACCGTATTTTAACTGTGGCTGAAACGACCAGTTGCTGTTACTTCCATCTCAGGGCTATTGGTGCATTGTTGCAGGAAAGTGGGTGGACGAGTGCATATAAGTTTGCTACCAGTCGTCCGCAGACGACAGGCGACGAAAAATTTGAAGCACGTGAGCTGATGACATAGCAAGCGCAGATAATACATTTACGGTCATTGATAAAAGGCACTCATCAAAAGGTAAAAACCTCCTGCACGTACAGGTAATCTCGATACCAGAGCTAGAAAGTGAGTGAGACTTAAGATGCTCTACGTCGTAACCAATATTAACTGCTCAGGATGAAAACTAGACACACTATGGAGAAGAGGATTCAGCATAAATTATAATATCAAATGTGCCTCCTCGATCTCTACACACGCTTAAGACGTCTGGGAAATCTCATTTTCGTGCGTCGGATCCTCTGAGTTTTGACAATATTCCCGGTATAAATTGCTTCTGATTGCTTTTTGTCCGTGTTTACTGTCTGTCAACACGTTCCCTGTGTGCTGTGATTCTTCAGCTCATATTTGTTTCCCTACAAATTTCCATACCGACTTTTGAGTTTAGTGTAGCCAAGCCTGTGGAAAGTTTCCCCTCATTTCGCGAAGTAATATAGTAACTGATATACTCGGCTGCCTGGCATCTAATGATTCACTCGCACCTCAACAGCATGGATTAAGAAAAGGATATTCAGATCGAACTCATCTGTTATCAGCAGGGGGTATGTTGGCGAAATGACCGAACAGAAACGGAAACAAGTTCTATCTGTAGCATTTTTCCAAGTACCCCATAGCATAGACAATGTCCGTCCTGTCATTAGGCCGAAATAAACTCATATTTGTCGGCTGGCATTCGCTTGGCTATCATCATTTTCTGAATCACATCATCAAGGTTCAGGAAAATCCTTTCTATTCGCGGAAATAGGGTACGTAAATGTTTCCCAGTGCGGTTTGTTTGGATGAAATACCGTCACAACATCTTTCAAAGTTCACCTAATCGATAAACTAAAATCAATTGGGATTCGACCTCCGCTCATTGACTAGTTGTCTTCATGTCTACGGGGCCGTCCATTTAGAGTTCGGGTGAGTTTCTCTGTGTCTAAAGAAACAGAATGTCCCAGTGGTGTTCCTCAAGGTTCAGTATTAGGGCCTCTCCTTTATCCAATATACATAAACGTCTCGCCTCAACAGGTCTCTTCCGAAGTCCTTCTTTTTGCTGACGATGTGAAACTCTGGAGTGAAACCAAGTGTGAAGCAGACAGTGTTTCTCTACAGGAAGACTTGACTAAGCTTCACAGTTGGGCAGTCAACAATGGGCTTGAATTTAATCCTGAGAAACGCGAGGTAATACACGTAAAACATGACGCATCTCGCGTATATAGCCTCAGCGGCATGGAACTTGAAGCTTCACTGACGGAAAAAGATTTGGGTGTGTTGGTGCCCCGGGACTTAAAACCCTACACCAGCTGTGACGGAAACGCACTTCGTGGGAACTTGGCGTTAGTAACTCTTAGACGAATTTTCGGGCAATTCGATCGTAGATGTCCCCACCAAATTCTCAACAGCTTCGTACGGCGTCACCTGGAGTTCGGGACTATCGTCTTCCCCCCCCCCTATTTCCAGAAGGACAAACTGAGCTTAGAACGCATACAAAGGCGTTCGACAAAATCTGTTCAAGGACTCAGGTCCAAAACATACGAGGAACGGCTGGTTGCGCTGGATCTGTACCCTCTGGAATACAGAAGGCTAAGAGGAGACTTGATAGTGACTCACAACATTCTGAGCACGCCTGGCCACCCACCCCGTCACTTATTAAGTCTTACCTGCAACGCTAATCTTAGAGGACATGCGCAGAAACTAGGCCTGGAACATAGCAGGCTGGATGTCGGGCACAACTTCTATTCCCTAAGAGTTGTTAAACCCTGGAGAGCTCTTCCTGAGGATGTGATCCGGGCTACTTCGTCTGAATCTTTTAAATGCCGACTGGATACCCACTTGATTTGTGTCCGGGATCTGCCCAGAACTAGGTGAATTTTCATATTTCAGTCGCAACTTTCCGCCTTTCCTTACTTGTACAACAGGTTGACAACCAAAAGGAGTAGTGATCCATGGATTGTAGACTTGGAAGCCAGTTAAGCGAAAACTTCTATTCCGTCAACAACCATATGAACCAATAAGAATCTCTACAAAAAGAAGTGAGTAAAACAGCCGACAATTGTCTACGCTAGCATATAAGAAGCTACATCTACACCTCAACCTATTTACCTTGGGTTATCGCAGGAAAAGGGGTGACCTCCTTATGGCATACAAGATCGCCCATCAGGCAGACCATGCAAACAAATCAATTTTGCCTGCAACTGAACGATCTTCACGAGGAAACCCCTTTAAGATAGCACACCAGAGAGCCAACACCACACTCAGGTCCAAATTTTTCTCCCTAAGAGTATGTGCTTGTGGAATGTCTTACTGTGACACATCGTTATAGCTCCTTCAATCGACTCTTTCAAGAGGCGATTAGACAGTTATGTCACTTCGCATGGACTACCACGGACGTACTCAGGTAGTCACCAACCTCAGTACCCCTCAACTCCCTCCTAACTACCACTCACTATCTCTCTCCTTAATACACCCACATTACCTACTAATTCATCTGTAGGAACCAAACCCACGCGACCATTCGGGCAATTCCCAAATACTTTTCTTTTGTTCTCATTCTCTCTTCACCCCTTCTTTTCTTCTCCTTCCTTTTTCTCTTTCTTACATTATTATTACTATTATTATTTTTTTTCTCTTCCTTATTTCTCTCTTCATTCCTTTACCACTACCTTAATATTCTCTTTCAGGTACCTACACAGACAGGAGTCACGGTTGTTCTCTAAACTTCCCAGCAGCCCGTAACTCCCTTATCACTCTACAAATTACAACCTACTAACCCACAAAACATCCACCTCACCGAAGCTAAAAGCAAGAAAGCAGAGGGGATTTCCTCGTCCACTGCAGGAGTAAACCGAACAACTGGAACCAAGCCCTAAGAACTAGACGCGAGAGATCAAAAACTACCAGTTTTCTACGCTCACACTATCAATATTGGATTGGATATTGGATCTAGCTCATTTACAAGCTGGTACGAGACATAACGCCAGTTGATAATTTAAACTTACGTGCATTACTACTAAGCTATTGCTAAAATCGCCGCTTTCAAGGTCACAGTAACGAGGCGCAATCACTGGTTGAGTTTCGTATCACTGTAAGACTTTGAAGTGCTTGTTCATTCACACTCTAGTTTCGACGTTTAGATTGGTTTTTTTTCTCATTTTGGACTATTGCATTTTCCAGTTGTCTTTTATCGATAAGAGTGAGTATATTCTTTGTTCTTCTTGAGTTGCTGATTCATGAGCTGGAAGAAATGTGCACATTTTTCTCTTTGGCTTCTTCATTTTAGTTCTAGCTGACTATACTGCAAATCTCTAGCTTAAAAACACTTTTCTGCACACCTCTCTGCAACAAAGTGTGCACATGCTAGATGAAAGTTTTCCAGTAGCTGGTCGCTACATTTGTGGTGTTGGATGTGGAACGAAAGTAGTTTGACGACTACTAGGGTTTATACGTCCACTAGGTGAAGTTTGTGAGTTCACAACAATGAGTTTTTCGATAAACGAGGTCGTACGGTTCATTGGTAGTGTTTGTTTGTCTTATTTGACCTGATATTAAAGAGGGGATGCATGCATGCTACCATATGGAGCACATTAGATAAAAACTCATCAGACGATGGGTATTAGTCTAGATGCAGGTCCTCAATTTATACATCTGTGAATGTACTATATATGGCATATGAGTGAGTAAGAAGAGCATTCATCTGTATCGCATTTGGAAATATCCTCTGGAATGTAATTCGCTAACAGCTTCAAACATTTTACCTAGCCTCTACCCTACCCTAGTACACCTAATCTCTGGGACAATGTTTTCTCATTTGAAGTAGTGTGACACTTGCGAGATCTTTCTCATCCACTTTCTAGTTTTGATTCTCAGGTCTCCTTGTCTCGTTGTGATTCATTGTATTTTGTCAATAAACGTAAGTGCATTGTTTTTGCCCGCTGAGTCGCTGGCTCATCTTTTTTCCGCTTTACTTTCTAGATTCTCGTGCTCTCTGCGTGTACTGGCACCGCCTAACTTATCGACACCCATCGGCGCGCCACCCTGCCATAACATCATAGGGTAGACGAAGACTTACCATCAGCTACTTCTGTACATTTCCAACGTTGTATATTAACGGGGTTAGTTCCTTGTTCTTCATGCATTTTAGCAGCCTCTTTGACAAGTTAGCTCAGATTGAAACCTAAAAATACTTTGGGATCGTCAAATCATCTACTACCCATATCGTAGGTAAATTCTTCAGACGTTAAAACAGAAGCTAAACGTCCTCATTCTCTTACGAAAGTAATTTCAACTGCTATATAGTACTGACCAAACCAATCAGGCGGGAATGAGGTATTCATTGTCGCTTACTATATTTCTTAGAGTTGAATTTCCTCAAGCACTACTCATCATTCCTTACACTCCTCTGGGGCTAGTGCTCCTCATTCTACGATTAGTTATTTTCGCCCATGCATTTTTGGCATCGTTGGTGCTATCACAATTCGATTTTTCCGGAGGTTAGTGATTCTTTGTTACAACACCGTTGTCTGCAGGTTTGTATTGCGCTCAATGTGTACTGTGCTGGGGTTTGTAGTATCTATAGATTCCGATCTTCGCACTGATCATAATACTTGCATGCCTCTAGTATCCAATCATGTTACATTGTTTGACCACTTGATGATGTGTCTTTCAGAAGACTGCATAACGGTAAGTTTTCCTAGTTTCGTTACGTTTTATTCTGTTATTCATTACTATTTTTTTCTGTCATTCGGTACTACTTGTTTACTTTACTGTTAACTCAAGTTTTCTCTTATTTCTGTATTGAAACAAGTCCCTGTCGGGTTGCTGAATCCTATACCTCCACCACTATAACTCTCTGAAAACGTGTTTAGTACCGTAGGTTATAAAAAAAACAGTCTGAACGAAGAATATTCTTTTCAACAAGTTCGCATCACGTTCTACAATTATGAAACACACTTACGAAGTTAAGGGTGAATACATTTCAAAATAACTGGGGACATCACGCGTCAGGCCTTCGAGTGGAACCCCGATGGGGAGCGACGAGTTGGACGTCCGAGGGTGATATGGAGGAGATCGTGTGAGGAAAAAATGAGAGCTTCTGGGCTGTCGTGGAACCAGGTTCAAAAGATTTCAGAGAACAGAGCGTATTGGAGACGTGCTACTGAAGCCCTGTGTTCAGTTAGGAACCCAAGGAACAAATAATAATAATAATACATTTCTAAATGGATTGAAATTTAAAAAGTAACGAAATCAAATTTTCTTTTTAAATTTCTCAATATTGGGATGGCATATATACAGACGAATAATGTGATGGTAAACGAAAAGACAACGAATAAAGTAACTTGTAGTTTACTTAGGACCAAGGGAGAAATAACGATTGAAAATGATCTTTCTTAATGCTTAGTTCAGGTCTGATAAGTCTTATTGCAAGTGCCTCAACTATGTTGAGGAGGCATGGAATACGATGCATGACACTGAAATCTTTATTAGCATCTACTTGATACCCTCTGTCGACTAGTTGCTGTAGGAGACGGCTTCTCACCACTTTCACTTTGTCTTTTCCGAATTCAAGCCAGTAAATGCTCTCGCGTCCAGAGTCGCACCTACCTACTCGTACGTACCCTATCTAACTTGTTCCACAGAAACAGCTAAATTGATATATGCAGGATGAAGAATGTGTGGGCTATCCTTTAGTCTCGGATTGGACATTGACCGACTACTGAAAGTTATGAAAAGACAACCTGCATAATACATTCTATTGACTGCTCTAGCTAGACTTTCTGACAGGATGTCCCTTGAATTATAGTCTCAGAAACAAAGGCTTCTTCACTGTCATCTGTCCTCATTTAAGACCTTTAGCTTTGATGGACTTATCCAGATATCCGTTTTCACGTAGAATATCATGAATACACCTTAGTTCTTTTTCCACAAACTTCTTGGAACAAATCGATCTTTCTGTAAATGCCAGGTACCTGGTTATATTACGTTTGTTCTTCATCGTCACATAGCTGAGAAAGTGTGTATACTGTGCCTTGGACGTGGGTTTTCTGTACATGCTAGTCAGCACAGAACCATCTTTTTTTGTCATTATCACATCAAGGAAATGTATCAAATCATTAGTTTCATTTTCATTTGTAAAATGAACTGATGAATGAGTGCTGTTTAAATGGTTTAGAACAGAATTCATGGATAAGCTTTTATCGGACTAAAAAAATGTCAACCATATATTGACATTTAGACTCTATGTTGGCAATTTGATGTTTCAAACGACCATTTTCCAATTCTGTCAGAAATATGTCTCCAAACTGTGGGCGCAATGGAGACCCTATATCTGCTCTATCAATTTATCTGTATAGATTACCGTTGAAAATGAACTGAACATCTTAGCAATAGTTCCTTCAAATTCATAGTAGAAATGCTAGTGTCTAATTTCCTTTCTAATAGTTGTTTGCCAATGTGTTTGACCACCGTTACCTTCGTAGTATGGGACGTATCCCGTGGTGTCACCACGTGAGTAATGAAGGAGTTAGATGTAGAGTTTTAGGGAGTAGAGGTAAATCAGTAGACGAGGTTATGAACCTTCATCGATTGAGGTGGTTCGGGTACGTATTACGTATGCCTAGTCACCGACTGCCTCGTCACACAATGTTGGCCGAAGTAGGTGCAGGCTGGAAAAAGGCCCGAGGTGGCCAGACTAAAACATGGCACCAATGTATGAAGTCTCTGACTATTGGTTTAAGCCATGTAGGGCGATGCAAACTAAGTGGTTGGGGTACACGGGATAAGAGGAACCAAAGGTTGGAGACTCTAGGGGATATGGCTTAGAACCGATGTCAGTGGCGCAGATGTATACACACAGTATGCCCATCTTAACGAGGCTATACCGAATTTCACCATTTTGTCATTCCTCTTTTCTTTCTTCTCGTACTTTATGTTTCTTTTGACTGCATTCTCTCATCTTCATCCTTCACCTCACTACCTTTCTACTTGATGTACTGATCTGAGCTGTGGCAAGTGGGACCGTTACGCAGTAATGCCTGGTCCTATGTTTATATTGATTGATTGGTTGTTTGTCAATGTAATCCACGGTTTCTATTAGAGGGATGTAAGTGGAAAAAGAGGTGACTTCAAGGAATCGTGTACGTTTGTCCTAAACTTTTGAGTTTTTTTCCTTTGTTTGCAAATGGAAGGGTGTCTTAGACACTATATTTCGCTACGACTCTAGGTGATAGGGTTCCGAACAGATGTTAGTGGCTTAGATGTATACATGCATTTTCCTCATCTTAACGACGCTATACCGAATCTCACCACTTTCTCATTTTTCCTTTCTCTCTCTTCGTACTTTATATTTCTCTTGATTGCATTCTATTATCTTCACCTTACACCTCACTGCCTTTTTTACTTGATGTACTGAAATAAGGCGTGGCAAGTGAGACCGTTACGCAGTAATGCCCGCTCCGAGGTTGATATGGATGGATGGATGGATATTTCGCTAACTGATCAAGCAAAGGTTGAAGTAATCATACTAGTCATTTAGCGATAGCGTGATAGGGGGATTAGTCATGTCTAGGATAGGGCGAAAAGACACCTCACGTTTGTGTATTCTTGGTAGGTCATACATTCGTGCTGCCTATAAGTTATAAATAAAATTAACAAAATGTTATCCGCCATCTTTCATTTTCTTTAGTAAGACGATTATATCCTTTTCTGGTTTTTCAGTTAGGTCTAGTTTCTGAAATTTAATTTTTTTTGCAATATTAAATCCATTTTCTTTGTATAGTCAACTGTGTCCATAATTAAAACTCCAGCTGCTTTATCCGGGCTTTTGTGATGATGATGTTCTGAGCCTTTTGAGAGCCTCACAGTATTCTCTAGTCAGTATGCCTGTTAACACATTTTTATTGCAGTAATGGAAAATATTTGTATCTCAAGTGGATGGTCTTGGTTGTATTGCGTTCTCTGAGTTGAGTTGTTTAATCGTGAAGCTTTCATCGTCTTGCTAGACAGCGACATCATCAGCACTAAATTCAATATGAAGTAAGTGACTTAGTGGCTTGTTCTGACGATGTGGTCTGTGATTGGTTGTTTCCTTTGATTGTTGTGTCATTGACTGACTATATAGACTTTCCTGTTGGCTGTCCTTCTGCTTGACCTCTGACCTTTCTGCCGTTTATCATTCTTCTTAGTTGATAGATTGGGTTTATATCTATACATCTGTTGATTGCTGACTGATCTGAATACCAAGCTTCTAGGAATTCTCTGATATTCTTTGTGTTTCCCCTCTCACTCCAACATTTCTACATTGTCAAAATTGAATTCATGTCCATAATTGTTATCCACGTGCATTGAAATGAGTGACGAAATGTCATGGCGTCTAATAGCCAATTGGTGTTCATGTAGACGAAGGCGAAGAAGGCGGCCACTGTCCAATATAGTGTTGACTACAGTTAATGCAGTTGATTTTGTAAATGATATTCGGTTTGTCTTCTTTGGTTGTTGTTACATCCTTCGGTCTACATCAAAGTGTTTGGAGGGAATTTGTTGGTTTATGAGCCACACCAATTCCAAGTGGTGTCAGCAATCTTGTTGTGTTTTCTGATATATTGTTTGTGTATGGTAGGACGATGCGTTTGTTGATTTCTGTCAATGACTTTGTAGTTGATGATGCTTTTATACGGACAGCAATAGTCTACTAGAGTTGATTTGAATCTTTCCAACTCTGCACTAGATGATGCAACCAAAGCGGCTTTTCGTATGAAAAGGTGTACGCCCGTATTAATTTGAGTAATTTATTTGCATATGTCGCAAAATTGAGTTCTAAAGGATAAGACTTTTATTTGTAATTTATCGAGTATAATATTGGAATAATTATGAACATACTTTTCTGGATTTTCCAGAGATTTGGATTAGGACATTTGAAGACGATTAGAGCATAGTAACCACACGGAGTTGTATCCATTTGGTTATTGGGCTCGTAAATCTATTTAATGAATTATTCAAGCTTTTTATTGCCCAGTATCGAAGTTACGTTGAAACCCATGTTATTTGGACCAAGTAAACATCCTTTTCATTCATTGTTCGGTATTCCTATAGCCACTGGATTATACATAATTTAATTAAATGCACTTACTTAAGCTCAACTTGCTATAGTATTATTAAGTACTGTTTATTTTTTCATGGTACTCAATAGCCGAATACACATGTTTTTCATTGGAAATCAATTTCTCAGAGCAAAGAAAAAGCGTATTCCGTTTCTGAATTTATTTTTCGTTGTGCACGAGGTAAGTTTTATCTTTATGCTAAATTTCGTAGACAATCATCAACCTGTACATCTTCTTCCTGAGAGATCACCTACTGGTTTTACCGATTGCCTTTTCAAGTTTGATCACAATATGTTTACTTCTATAGATAGAGTTCAACCAGTAAGTAACATTTGTTAACAGTTTCAAAATTATGTTTAGGTAGCACTTAAAGTACATCGAATCTTTCCCATCAAACTAGTAAGTAAAATATTTTTAACTGGTTGTTTACATTTAACTATCAATTATCCTACCTATATCTTATTCACCTGCATTGTCTATAATGAAATATGGATTTTCATTTATTTTTCACCTAACACATAATGATCATAAGTTTGTACTCGTGAATTTGTTGATCATGAAATTCGATTCTATGGCGAAATATTTTTTGAAAACTTACATAAAATGGAGTAGTAAAAGAATATTTAGATTTACTTTTGGAAAATGGATTATTCTTTAAGTTATCTGTTATTCAGCATTGTTGTAGACATTGTATACACCATAAAATATGAATTTAAGTGAACAGTGCAGAAAATCATACTGTAAGGTGTGTTTGCTTCTTTGCAAGATGTTTTGATAACGTTTTAGAAATATAGCTTGATTTAAACAAGTGATCATCTACATACCTTTTAAAATTATCACGATTAAATCTTTGGAGACTATGATTTGGAAAATGTAGTTTGTCTGAAAAACGCTGTATGTTCGCAGACTCCAAGCACAATGAGAAGCAGAAGCAACTCAAATGTAGACAGACAAAATGTTTACTCAATGACCACGAACAGTGGTGGGTAGCGAAGGCTAAAGAGTGGAATAAGCAGTAGCGATAGAAAACAGTGGACAGATATTTAGACTTATCAAGGAAACTAGGGTCAGCGGTTAGTGCGACTATAGCGGAGTAGGATGTGTTTCTCTGATTAACTTGAAAGGGTGCTGACTGAAACGGCAGGTGGTAGAAAGCTTCGAGGAACAGTTCAACTGACCTCCAGCTACTGTTGTGTTGCCCGCTATCCACTCGGAATGTAACATTTTATGAGAAGTCCAGATTACGTACCCACCATTCAGGACAAGGACTCGAAACATTTAAATAATTCCATTTTAAAGTCTGTTGGTGTATGCTTAGCGAGTTTATTCAACATTAGTCTATCGACTCTTAAAAGCCATATGCGCCACTAGTATAAGACCAAGATGTCTTGACGTCTCCACATCTACCTTAATCTACCTACCCGATGAGAACCATAAAATACTCAACTTTACCATCAACTGAAGGTAATAGATAAGAACAACTATGATAGAAGCTATGAGCAAATGGCCATTCAATAGTATTTTTGGAGTAAGAATCTGTCTTCCAGTTCCTTGGTCACATCGAGTCGTATGCTGGTTTCAACCATTTCTTTTATTTACTTTCTCCTGATTATTTTGCGTGATTTGTTAGTTTACTAATCAGTTTTAAGTATTCGGGTTACGCTATCAAAAGCCGCCAGAATTTTGTTTGGCGAAGAGATGGTCGAATTTAAGACGATATATCTCAGTGTGCATTGATAAAACATTTCAAAACCTTTTTTTTACCAGTCATGATTATTTATCATAAAGTTGTTAATTTTCATGCAGGTTGTAGTAGTAACCTATTTCTTATTAATTTTTTTCAATTCTACTTATTTATGGAGTGTATAATGTTTATACTGTTTTCAAAGCGAGCTTAGAACTCGATAAACGTAGTAGAATTTAGGGGAACCTACTTCCCTACGGCATCTTATCTATGATTATTTGTTGATCTTCATTTTTTGTTTTTAGGTAGCACATCCTATTTCTAGGACGACGGAATTGTTATGGCAGTTATTCACACCGTCACATATTACCATATCAAGTACTTGACTCCTATTTGTCGTATGCCGGATGAGATTGATGCAGACTTCTGTGAAAGAGTTCGTTCTGCCATTGGCAGATCTCTTGGCGCCACTCTCAGTCCAATGAGCGCTGAGCATTTGGTTGATGTAAGTGTTATAATAATTCGTATAGAGTTTATTTGATTGATAACAAGGCAACCCATATCTTTATTGTAGTAAGTTGTATGCGAAAAACTTCAGTTACATTTTGCTCTTATTTTATTTTTTCATTTCAAAATGTATATGTTCTTAAATCTTCGGAACTTTTCGTATGTGTACGAAACTTATCTCCTCTACCATGTTAACCGACGAGATTTCAGCGTGTAATATTTCAACAAATTGACTCTCAGTACAATATTTTTCAGCGAAACAATTATCGCATCTTGTTAATAATAATAATAATGACAATTATTATTATTATTATTATTATTATTAACTAGTTCACTGGTTACTAGCCGGTCCTAAGCCTGGGTAGAGAGGGAAGATTGGGCATAGGGCTAGCAACCCTACCCCGTAAAACAAATCTAACCGCTAAAGAAACTCCAAAGCACAAACGAAATATAAAAAAATAATAATAATAAGGGCACTAGTGTGAAAGCGGTTAGCTAGTGTTAAGTTAGCATATGGTCTGTGATAAAGAGTAATAAATAGAAAGACGAGCGTAGGTTTGCTTATAGTGGTTCATTCAGCCAGTATAAAAATATATAATTCGAGCTATCTTAGAAATATCATTTTGAATATCTGAGATAGCTGTGATTTAGCAGACTAGTATTTATACAGGGTGGTTGATTGAAGATGAAATGAAAATTTGAACCGCTGCCGGATTCGAACCAGCGACCACCAGGTCTCCGGCTTGATATTCTGCCAATTGAGCTACGAGGTCCGATAGTCGGACCTTCAGTCACCACCCAGTATATATTATGATGTTTTCATTTTGTTGTTTGTCTAAAAAGGGTGGCTGATTGAAAACACTTTAAAATGTGTGAAAGTACATGACATGTTTAAAAGACAAATAAGTTAACAGAAAATATGAAATATATTGGCTGAAAAATTTCTAGTGACCGAAGGTCCAGAATAAAGATTCAGATGGGTGTTCAGTTCGATGATGGTAGCACATCAGGATGTAAGCTATTTGTGTTCAGTAGCAGCTGTCGGCGTAGTAAGACACTCTGATTTCCAAGAGATCATAGGACTCAGTAGTTCTAAATCATTCTGTAGACTTTTTGTCACTTTTACTATTGAAAAGTAGGTGGAAAGAAATGAACGCTTGGATTTACCTCGGAAGACTGTTTCCTGGACCACTTATGTTGTTCAGTCTACTTCACGTCTTCATGGATATTGTTACATTTTTTCTACCCCGCATTTGTTGGGGCCTGTGCTTTCTTCCAACCCAGTCCTACTTCTGCTACATCCACCCAACGAGTTCCGAACGAAATGAAACGCGCATTCTGGATTCTACTACTAGCCATCATCCATCATTAATATCAAATTTGAAAATACCTGCATTACCGAGGCATCTGCACAGGAAAATCTATATCCACTCAAAAACCCTGTGCATCTTCGTGCAGTAAGCTTCACGTATTGCGTGAAGGCTACTGATGATGCTAACTAGCTGCCCAAACTTCGGTAGGTAGAGCATGCTTCTAACCAATGATCCACTGGTTAAAAGTGAACTCATTAAACCAATGAACCACATCTCATCCACACAGGAGCCTCTATCGGTTGATCGATTCGATCAAATCAACGACAGAGATGCACAAACTATATTATACTATTCATTTCTTTATGTGCGGACCAAATTGCAACGCTACGCATCATCATAGAACAGAGCATAGAATGGCATTCAGCTCTCTGCCTCAACTTTATCGACTTTGAAAATGCCTTTGACAACATCGGCCGAGAAGTAATTTGGCAGCTGCTTCAGCACTGCGGAATACCACAAACCTTTATCAACCTCATTCAACAACTATATGAAGATGCCATATGCCAAGTAATTCACAACGGAAAGCTCAGTGATGCTTTTGAAGTGAAGTGAAGACAGGAGTAAGACAAGGCTGTCTACTATCACCCATAATCTTCCTGATTGTGGTCGACTGGATCATGCAACAAGCCGTGAGGGCAAGAAGATGGGCAAACGCTGTTTTGACGGATGAAAAGAGCCTAGAAGATTTGGATTTCGCCGATGACTTGTGTCTGATATCGCAAAAACTTGAAGGTCTGCGGGCAAAATCCAACAAGTTGGCAGAAGAGGCAGGGCAGCGAAGACGGGACTTCAAGTGAACGTAAAGAAGACAGAGGTCATGAAGATACCCAACCAACAACAGCATCAACAACAAGCACCAATCACTACCAACGGTAGAAACTTAAAGGAAGTAGCCTCTTTCATCTATCTAGGCAGCATCGTTTCATCTACAGGTGGCACAGGCACAGACGAAGATGTCAAAACTAGGATCGGAAGAGCCAGACAGGCGTTCGTTAACCTGAAACCAGTGTGGAGATCTTCTGCACTCAGCATGTGGAACAAGATCCGGACTTTCAACACCAATTCAGTCAATTCAGTGCTCCTATATGGTTCAGAGACTTGGCGCGTTACGAAAGGCGTTTCCAAAAAACTACAGATATTCATCAACAACTGTCTACACTGGCTCGTTACTGAAGCTCAGATGGCCAGAAGGAATAAGAATAAGCAACAAGGAACTCTGGCAACGAACCAACCAACCAACGAAGAACCTATCGCTCAACAAATATGCACTGAAAGGAAGTGGAAATGGATCGGGCATGCACTGAGAAGACCATTGGGGGACATCACGCGCCAGGCCAGGTACTCGAGTGGAACCCAGACGGGAAATGGCGAGTTGGGCGTCCGAGGTGAGGGTGACATGGAGATCATGTGAGCAAGAAATGAGAGCTTCTGGGCAGTGGTAGAGCCATGTTCAAAAGATGGCTGAGAAGAGAGTGGAATGGAGATGTGCTACTGAAGCCCTATGTCCCACTATGAACCCAAGGGATAAATAATAATAATAATAATATTCATTTTTTGAAAGGCTTTCCTCTTATCCCGTTTTCCACAGTCATTTGTTTCTCTCTGTGTTGATGTTTCACACTATTACTTCTTCGATTAGCATAAGCATTATCGCTTTTCGTTGCGTCGGCTAGATGCATTACCTTTTAAAATCATTTATGCTATCAAAAAACAAATATTAAAATTTGATGACAAGTACCAATTACATCCGTTAAATAATCTCAAATTTCTGTTTTAAAAATAAATGTTTTCACTCCTTGAAATATGCAACTGGGATTCAAGTTCTGTTTTACTGTGATGCTTTTCTTTTTTAACTAACCTTTTGTACCTGATTTTCATTTTCAGTATTCTGGAACAGAATCACAAATTTCATCTATATCTTTTGCAAATTTGCGATCTTCTGCGGTGTCAAGTCAGTCTGTAACACCACGAAGTTCATCCTTGTCAAGAAAGCATTCTACAAGTTCATCAACGGATACTTTCGTCTCTTCAAACCTGTTGACATCAGATGGAATCCGTTTTCGTCAAACTGTTCAACTAAATCATGAAGTTCGTGGAACTTTATCTGATTTCGCTTTTGAACATTTAGTGCCTCGAATAAATGAGATTCTCAGTGATATACCTGTCAATCGAATTCGTGAAGCCCTTGGTAAGTAGATAAAAACTAACTGTTTTCATAAATGTTTCTAAACGTCTTATTCACTTTGTTCCCTGTTTAGTACATTTAGTCGATATTCATCATGAACTGACATCAGTTGGAAAAATATTGGAATCCTAGGAGGAGCACTGGACAACCGTTTTATCTTAGTATCGGACTCCTCAACAATGTCATCATAGCAAGGTGTTACTTACTCCACGGACCTCAACCACTAAGTCTACATCACCCTACATGGCTTAAACCAATAGTCCGAGACTTCATACATTGGTGCCATGTTTTGGTCGACCCACCTCGGGCCTTTTTCCAGCCTGCACCTACTTCGGCCAACATTGTGACGATGCGATCGGTGACTAGGCATACGTAATACGTACCCGAACCACCTCAATCGATTAAGGTTCGTAACCTCGTCAACTGATTTACCTCTACTCCCTAAAACTCTATACCTGACTACTGCACTACTCACGTGGTGAAACCACGGAATACGGCTATGCTACGAAGGCAACGGTGGTCAAACACCATAAAGCAGCCTTCTCATGTCTTCCACCTTCAATGGCCATGTTTCACAGCCATACAGTAGAACAGACCGGACTGTTGTGCAGTACGCGCGACCCTTAATAGACAATCGGATATCACGGCGGCGCCATAGGTGGCGTAAAGTGGCAAAAGCCAATCGAGCCTTTTGTATCCGTGCAAAGATTTAATCAGCAACTGACTCACCAGGGCTGATCCTACTTCCCAGGTAAGTGAAGTAAGGTCAATCAATCAATATCAACATAGAACCAGGCATTACTGCGTAACGGTCCCACTTGCCACAGCTCAGATCAGTACATCAAGTAGAAAGGTAGTGAGGTGAAGGATGAAGATAAGAGAATGCAGTCAAAAGAAATATAAAGTACGAGAAGAAAGAAACGAGGAATGACAAAATGGTGAAATTCGATATAGTCTCGTTAAGATGGGCATACTGTGTGTATACATCTGCGCCACTGACATCGGTTCTGAGCCATATCCCTTAGAGTCTCCAACCTTTGGTTCCTCTTATCCCGTGTACCCCAACCACTTAGTTTGCATCGCCCCACATGGCTTAAACCAATAGTCAGAGACTTCATACATTGGTGCCATGTTTTAGTTTGGTCACCTCGGGTTCACAGAGAGGTCAATAACTGAATCTTTATTGATCGAATCAACACCAAATACATGCAGTGACAGGGATAATTCTGCACCTGTCCCATATAGGTGAAAAATTCTACTACCCTTGTCATCACAAAGAAGAAGAACTAAATAAACTATGTTCCAAAGTTGTGGAGTTACCTGATATGAATGTGGTGAAAAAAAATCTGGTCATCAATCGGTCTTCGTGGCTCAGTTGCTGGTTCAAATCTGACCGTGGTCCAAACTTACATTTCACCTTCAATCATAATCACCCAGTGCAAATACTAGTCTGCCAAACCACAGCTGCTATCGCAGATAGTTAAAATGATGAATAATAATATTTCCAAAACGTTATCCAGTAAATAATACGGTTACTACGAATAAACAGACTAAAATGTTGCTAGAAATGCTTTAAAAAACCTTGTTTATGCGGTAAGTAAACGAAGTCATTAAATGTTGCTTGGTTATTATTTAAGGACGTTAGTATTTATGGTTCAGTAAACACCTTGTATTCAACTGTGTAGCGATTAAATTAAAAATTGTGTCTGGAAAAGAGGACCAGTATATGCTGAAAAAAAACACAACTGGAATATCGATTTTTGCATATTACAAGTATTTATCAGAATATGCGGGGTCATTAGGTTTATATCTTAGCTTGTTGCTAGTAAAACGACTAACATTCATACCTGTAGGATGAGTAATATCTAAGGTGATGCATACAGTCAGTCAGTCACTTAGCATTATTATCTATGTACTGGATTTTTTTCTTACATATATAGTGAATACTCATGGTGATGTGGAATCAGCTATCAGTTTACTTTTGGAGAACTCGAATGAATCAAGCTCACAACAAGATGTACATCACTTCACAGAGAATAAGTCTATTCTATCTCCAAGTAGACTGAACGTTGCAGCTTCACAGTTTCTGCCAAACTCTAATGGTCGTCAATTAAGTCTAAGTGAACGTCGTGAAGCTCTTCTTTCTCATGCACGTCAGCTATTTCTTACACGCCAACAACAATCCGCATAAATCATGAAATGATCTCTTCTCCTATGTGACCAATTTTTTTAATTGATAAACTGTGATCTTTGTTTTAAATTTTCTTTTTCCAGTTAACCTATTTTTCACACAAATCTTCCCTCTCCCCTCTTGTGCTTAAGTTGAACTGTAGCAACTCATAAATCGATGTCAATTGTGTGTATTACACTTAGCTTCAATTTATTAACATTTCATATAATCTATCATTATTTGTATCATAATGAAGTGCTGCTCGAATGCACATCGAATAATGTTGATTTTAATTTGAAATCTTCCTTACTATGGCTATGGTAGCTTACTTGGAGCTAGTGAAAATAAATTTTTATTCAATTTCCTGAGAAACGCCAGCTATTGATGTGATAGGGGTGGTCATAAGTATATCCTACAGTTTTCGCAACGTTCTCCAGAAGTGGTGGGTAGCCAAAGCAAGGGCCATCGGGTAATACCTGGGAGCTATTTAGGATTGCTAACGGCACCAGCAAGACGAAGTCGATGGTTAATGAGGTGTTGTGGTAGTGACTAACTCTAAAGAGAGTATCGAACAAGTAAAGCTGTCTACTCGAACTCACGCAGCCATGTTAGGGCTTATAGAAATTGTCACGTAAGTTGGATACAGTGAGTGGTGTTCGCCTTCAGGGATGCACACTGTCACTATCCTTATCTAATTTTGTTATAGATGTATTAACGGACATAACCTTTGGTACGTTTGACTCCACACGGATCGGTCTACTCCCTGGAGGGCATCTTGTTGACTTGGAGTATGCAGATGATATCGTCCTGCTAGGTGAAGACGCTAACAAAATGCAGGGTGTTCTGAACTCGTTGAGCAGAAATGCGAGTATGTTTGACATGTTTTGCTGGCATCTGTCAAATATAAGATGATTCTTCAGAACTGGTCTGCAACTACTCCCAATTTAATGATGGGAAGTTAAGTGATGGTGTTTCGACCACTTCACTTACCTGGGGAGTCCCACCAACCCGAACGGGCTGGTTGCTGGCGAAATCTCAGATCAGATACAGAAAGCCCTTCCGGCATTTGCTAACTTGCGTCGTCTGCTGTTCCGACTCATGAGATGTTGAACCATCTGTCGAAGAGTGACTATACTGCGCGGCAGTCCGTTCTGTCCTATTAACACGGCTGAGATACAGTCGTTAAAAGTAGAAGACATGAGGTAGTTGCAGGGTTTCGATCATAGGTGTCTTCGCAGCATTGCTCATATTTGGTGAAATCACCGTGTGAACAGTGTTGAGGTCAGGCGAAGGGTAATAGGCAGGTTGATTGATAAGGTTGTGAACTTCCATCGACTGAGACGGCTTGGGCACGTGCTACAGATCCCGAGCCACAGCTTACCTAGACGTGCCATGCTGGGGAAGTTGGAAGAAGCTTCAGTGTGGCAAGACCAAGATGTGACACCAGTCGATAGAGTTTCTACCTGTTGGTCTGAGCCATGTGGGTCGATGTAGACTACATGACTGGGGTCCCCGAAACGAAAGGAACCAGTAGTTAAGGTCTCTTGGTGACATGACTGAAAGCCGGTCACATTGGCAGATGTATTCACTCCTGGACATCTAAAGCGTGAATATCTCCATCAACTTTTGTCTCCAAACTGTTTATGCTTACACAACTTTTTATACTCTGATTTCGCTCCTTCCTATCTGCTTGTTCTTTGTATACTACTAAAGTGTGGAAACTTGAGCGCAAGGTCCTACGGTGATTTAGTAAAGTTGTACTTCAGCAACTCGTTAGAACTAGAAAGCTGTTTTCCGAATAAGAATTTCAGACGAATCGCTTGAGGATATCGAACTCAAGGACGTGCTTCAAAATGTTAACGATGGAATATACTAGGTGTTTTAAACTATCACTTACCGGGGAATCTAGATTAATGTAGTTGAAAACAAATCGAGGAGTTTCTTTGTACTACATAGAGAGAAAGCACTGTTTTTCAGTTATGTAGTAAGACAACAATTAGCAGTGGGGTGCTATTATTGGCACATACTAAAGTACACAAAATATGAGCAATTAGAGGTAAAGATCATAGAACACACCTTTTAATTGTTCTGCTGGCTTTCTTTAGCATATTTTACAGCTTAAACAAATTGAAACAATAAGAATTTCTGAAAATAGGGTTCATCCCCAAATTCAAGGTTCATGTAACAGAATCTACTAGGCGTCACCAATCTACATCATTCGATTCATCCTCTAATTTACTGCTCGGCGAAATGTCTTCTTTTGTCTAAGCATGTAGAGTTGGTGTCTAAGTATATCGCGATAATGACTTAGTGTTTCACTACTTAGACTCACTGGAAACATTAAGGGAAGTGTAGTCACATATCTTTAGATATGTAGAAAGTTGAACCAAGCTAATTCACTTAAATCTACTGTGGATGCTTATATCACACGGAAACAACTCGTTCATCTTTAAGCGTACATGAGACGGAGCGCTATGCCTAATCGACTATTTGCAACAAGGTTAGACTAGATTTAAGTAAAACTGACTTCTTTTTAACTACTCTTCATTCCTTTAGCTCTCAATGAAATAACGTAAGTGGTTGTAATGGCATGCACTACTACAGAAAATCGGTATATTGTTATTGGAACAATGATAAACGATGCACTGGTCAAACCGTTTTTTATAGTCAGGTTAGTTTTATCGTGTCAGATGACTTGTTCACTGACGCGCTAGTAAGTATTCCCTGTTACTAACAGTTTGAGTCCAACAATGGTAGCGTTGCCATAACTTTGCAACTAAGGGATGTGTAACACGGCATATTTCGTAATCTTTTAACTATATTGGCTGTTTAAAAGATTCTATTCACAACTGGCTCGAAGTTCCACCTACTAAGTTCTACTCCCGGTACTCCATAAGTTCCACCTTTTATCCACCAACACAAAATATGCGCTAGATTTACTCACGTTATCTCTTTTCTGAATCCAACATTACTGCTTCCCTATTTGCGTAAAATTTTCCACTTGTCTGCTTCACTCAGACTTATTCCAGTCATTATCTCGTTCACTGATTGACTTCTCATTGGTAAACTACAGTCCACTGTGATAAGTTTGACTGTTTCATGTTCTGAGCAGGTGTTCTAGATCTTATAACATAAAATGGATTCATGTTATTGCGTTCAGTTTGTTGTTTCCACAGTGTTCTGCGTATGAGAACTAAGTCGTTCTCATTCTTATTCATTTGGGTTAACTTCTGTTTCGTTAACGCGTTGCGGATAAATTCACAGAACAGGACATTAAGGATTTCACGAAATTCCACACAATACGCATACCTTATGACGGAAAGCCATCAAACTAATGCTGTGGTTCTACGTTACGGAAAATGTTTTAAACTAAAGCAAAAGATTAATATCAGCATAACAGAGACAAGCACACGTATGTCATCACATGTATAGCGTACATACAATATTATTATTTTATTATTTGTCCCCTGGGTTCCTAATGGAACATAGGGCTTCAGTAGCACGTCTCCAGCGACCTCTGTTCTCTGAAATTTTTTGAACCTGGCTCCACAACCTCTCATTTACTTTTCGCACGATCTCCTCCATGTCACCCTCGGACGCCCAACTCGAAGCTCCCCATCGGGGTTCCACTCGAGGGCCTGACGCGTGATGTCCCCAGTCGGCCTTCTCAGTGCATGCCCAATCCATCTCCACTTCCTTTCAGTGCATATTTGTTGGGCGATAGGTTCTTCGTTGGTTCGTTCCCAGAGCTCCTTGTTGCTTATTCTTTCTGGCAATCCATCTGATCTTCAGTAGCGAGGGTAGGCAGTTGTTGATGAATGTCTGTAGTTTGTTGGAAATCCCTTTCGTAACGCGCCAAGTCTCTGAACCATACAGAAGTACTGATTTGACGTTGGTGTTGAAAATCCGGATCTTGTTCCACATGCTGAGTGCAGAAGATCTCCACACTGGTTTCAGGCTAATGAACGTTTGTCTTGCTTTTCCGATTCTGACTTTGACATCCTCGTCTGTGCCTGTGCCGCCTGTAGTTAAAACAGTGCTGCCTAGATAGGTGAAAGAGGCTACTTCCTTTAAGTTCCTCCAGTTGATGGTGGTTGAAGCTTGTTGTTGTTGTTGGTTGGGTATCTCCATCACCTCCATCTTCTCCACATTCACTTGAAGCCCCGTCTTCGCTACGCTTTCTGTCAACTTGTTAGTTTTCGCCTGTAGATCTTCAAGTTTGTGCGACACCAGACACAAGTCATCCGTTGGCGAACTCCAAGTCTCCTAGGTTCTTTTCAGCAGTCGAGCGTGTCCCCCTCTTCTCGTTTCTCACTGTTTGTTGCATGATCCAGTCGACCACAATCAGGAATATCATGGGTGATAGTAGGCAACCTTGTTTCACTCCTATCTTCACTTCAGAAGCATCACTGAGCTTCCCATTGTGAGCGTACATACAATAAGGAGAAATAATAAAGATTTGAAACTATTGACAAAAAAAGAGCATCGTAAGTTTCAGATATTTAACAAATATGTTCATTAACCACAGATGATAGAATAAGTGAGGATTATAAGACTCGTACAAAAGTTTAGAAACTGTCAGTTGAAAACCTGGAATTACGGGAGCCTGAGACTTTCATTTCCTCTAGAAAACTTTCTGACTTTTCAAGTTAAATCCATTGTCACATAAATCTGAACATCTTTTGTTAAAATATTACACACTCAAGGAATTTATCGATCGGCTAATGCTAGCTAGTTAGTTAGTCTACGTATGCGAAATTTTTCTCGAAAACCAAGTTTATATGCAGCGATAACTGGATTTAAGTATCATTGAAATGGACTAACAATCACTAGGAATGGTTGAGCATCTGGAAACACGTAATGATACACAACTAAATAAAAATGAGTTTTTTTATTTTCAGAAGAAAAATATTTTAAATAAACAAGATTAATCAATAGGTTCATCATTTCGCCATGACTCTTCGACAATAGCTCGTACTTGAGTTTCATATTGGCGTTTATCTTCTTCAAATAACTCTGCTGCCGTTGTATTTGCAGGTGAGTTAGGATTTGGATCACCTAATAATGACTGTAATGATGTTAAAATTGCACCAATGTTATATGATGGGGACCACATATTTTGTAATATATCTAGACATATACTTCCATCGCTATAAACGTTAGGGTGAAACATTTTGGAAATAAATCGAACAATTGGTGGGACATTAGGATAACTTTCAGTAAACTCCATAGTTAACCTAAATATCCCGTCTGCAAACGCTGTGCCATCTGGTCCCAAAATAATTGCATGCCATTTCATTATATTATCGTCAAGTGGTACAGCATACACACCTGGAGGAGGATCAAGCTGAATTTTCTTGAAGTCATTCATAAGACGACGTCTAGCTTTTGTGGACATTTCGCTACTCTAAAGATAAAGTATCAGGGCTAAAAAAAATTATAATAAATTTATGTAAGAACGAGATAAGTATTGATTGAGGAAAACTGTTTTAAAGCAGGAAGCAAATGCAAAAAATACGCAGTTCGTAGATGAAAACAACAGGGATCATATGAAGTAGTTGACCTTATAAACACTTATGATGCAGTCTACCTGCTTTTGAGGAAGCAGCACATCAAAGACTTACCAATGAAGAGCCATCATTATAGTTCAAGATACGTGATGCACAATGCCTCGAACATATAAAAATGTGAAACCCAATAGGTGTGCTTATACAGTGACTTCGTTGTTTCGGCAACGCATATTTGTGCCTTAATGGACGTTTCCTCACTCAGCTCTATGACGAAGAAGATATTAAGAGAAAGTGGCTAGACGATTACAGCAGGACATGAAAGTGTTACTCACTTCAACAAAATCTGGTGTCATCTTCAGTCTGTTGTCAAAGCTGCTATACAGACTGGCTCTCTCAAAGTCATCAACAGCCAGTACATCTCAACAAATTCGTCAGAATTAAGAGACAAGCGAGAAATTTGTAGTGAAAAGTCTGAAAATTAGTGAGAATTTCGCGAAGAAGGATGACTGTTTCCTTTACGGGAGAGGTGACTGGAATGATGTTTATGAAACTAAAAACATCACCCAGATTCCCGCTGTCCAATCACAGCCTGAACGGGACACTGACATATGGCCTATAAGTGTTAATAAAGTTTAGAAGACTGTTGGTAACGGGACCACAGTCAGAGGTATATATATAAGGACGGTTAGACTGGCTGAAGGATAGGAGTTACACATGAAACCTAAAGTATGGTTCTAATTAGTGACTGTTTTCAGGTCCTAGAGTCGTCTATCGTGAAAACTACAGCTGAAGAGCAGCAAACTCGAGGAAATCGGGCAGGTTTCTGAATTTATCATAAGAGTATTGGTTAGATTTGAAGACACGAGCATACTTCCTGCCACCCGGCATTACCTACACAGTTTGTCCTTGATCACACTAATCGAAAAGTTTCAGGGCAATGTTCCTCACTGAAATAGATGATTTACTTTACGTGTAGGCTCTGTAAAAACAAAATCGCACAACAAATGCCATTCACATGCCCTTTCCTCCATTTTCATCCAACTGTTCATAGATTAAGTACTTTAGTCTTGTGGGGTATTTTTTTTTGGTTGACTTACAGTATGCACACAAATCGGTTATCATAAATGAAAATATTGAATTTTCTGTGCACTAAATGACAATCTGAGAAGCACTTATCACATACTGAAAGTGAATTACTGCTTCAGAACCGATCTGGGTTAATACTAACAAAGGCGGTTAGGCACACATTTCAATCACCTGAGAAGTTGGATTAAACGAATTGAAATCCACTGAACAATAAAGTACACATTCGTGCAGCAGGCAATGAGCCACAGCTATTGTGAGACGGTTATCGATACCACCTAACTACCCAAAACTCAGTAGGTGAAGCGGAGTCTAAACCAATAGTACACCAGTTACAGGGACCTAATCTTGAAACAAGAATCTAGCCGACTAATATCAACACCTTTGATGCAAAATTATCTTTTAAGCTAATACATCACTGGTTAACGTTTACTGATGATCAAAGCATTTTAAGAGACTCACTGTTGTTGTGAATAACCCCACCTGTCACTATGCAACCTACTGATGCTACTTTGAGGTAGTGGTTAAACTTATGGATCGCAATGATTGGATATATATATATATATATACTAACTGGTGCTATCGAAACAGGCGTTTCCGATTGAAAGCAATGACAAAAATAACCTAAAACTTTTGATTTTTCAGATAGTGAGGTCTTGAAAACGCGATTCATCAAGACTGGTGTTCATAAATCGCTTGGTCGATCCAACGCAGACGCGCCATAGTGTGCATGGCAAGTTGGGAAATAATGCTAAAGCAAGGTATCGTGACTTTCGAGGTGACACACAGTAGTTCAAATTACCTTTCTAATGAGTTTGCTTCTGAACCTTCACAGTTATAGCTCAAGCAATAGACGCTTAACTTGAGCTCGAGAAAACTAGGCAGGTTTGAGACCTGGACGATGTAGCATCGATCAAATTTTCACCTTACAGCAGGTTCTGGAATGTCAATATACTTATCGGTGGCCAACGTCGTATTTGTTGACCTGAGTGCAGCATTCGACTCTGTCGACCATGAGGTGTTGTGTCTGACTGTGAAGGGAGTACCGAGCAACTAGGTGGCGTAAATCAAAGCTCCCTATACAAACTCAAGTAGCCATGCAACGGCCTATAGAGTTTAAATTTGAACCAACGACAACCAGCGGTTTCCGGCAAGGACACCTTGTCACAGTTTCTGTTCAGTTTCGTTAGACATGCTTTATTAGACACAACTTTCGATATGTCTGACTTCACACGGACTGATTCGCTCCCTGAAGGTCGTCTGACTGATGTGCAGTACTAACACGACGTTGACTTGTTACGAGAAGATAGTAATAAAGTATAGAGTCTTTTGAGCGTTGAACACAAATCTAAGCATTCTTGGCATGCGTTTTCTACCCAGTCAAATCATGGTGATGTTTCAGGACCGATCTGGAACTACTCCCAGTTTAAAAATACGGAGCGAATTGGTTGGATGCAATGACCACTTCGCTTACATGTGAAGTTGCATAACCCCGAATAGACTGGTTGCTGAGGAAGTCTCAGCTCAGATATAAAAGGCCAGTTTGGCATTTGGGAACTTGCATCATCTGTGATACTAGACAGAAACCCTAACACATGTTAAAGGATGAGTACACTGCGCTGCAGTCTGTTGTTATTTGGCTGTGAGACATGGCCGTTATAAGTGGGAGGAATGAAGGGACTACAGGTTGTTGACCATAAGTGTTTTGGATATGTGTTGCACATGTCAAACCACTGCTTATCTCAAAATGTAATGGGGGAGAAGTTGGATTAATTGGTTCAGTATGGCCAGAACAAGACGTGGCACCAATCCACGACGTCTCTGAATGTTGATCTCAGCCATTTAGGGAAATGGTGTCCCTGAGACGACAGGAACGTAGGTGAGGACTCTTGGAGATGTAGCTGAAAATCGGTTGTAATGGTGATGCATCCACTCTTTGACGTCTCATAAAGCTTGAGTATTTTCACTGACATCTATCTTCATACAGTTTTTTTTCTCATACACCGTCTACTTTAGTATCGGTCTTTTTCTATCCACTTGTTCATTGTATGCTAATTTCAAGTGTGACAACTTCAACCAGTGCACTTCTGTGCGAGGTTTACGTTCTGTGTTTGAATTAATCGTAAGAAACTTGGTTTAGGGTAGTGGTATTGATAACTGTTCCTGACTGCGCTAAAATCTATCACCTTTTTCGCCGCAGCTAGATACTCCGAGACAAACCACTACCCAGAAGAGTTTTGCTGAAGTCAGCGGAATGATGCTGAAGACGTTCTTGTCCTCTCACACCGACCTCATATTTTCAATACTTGTGAAATCATGACCAAACATGACAAACCACTGCCAGTTAGGGAGGAGAGGGATATCCTGACTAGGATCGCAAACAGAAACACCTCGACAGTTTTAAACGAAATCGCAGGACGGCCTAGAGACAACGCTTTCAAAAGGCAGTACCTTTATGACATCCAATACTGGTAGCGGCCCAAAAAAGTTGGCCCCAGTGATGTCTACAAAAAATGTCAGTAGACTGCTAGGATATGCCTACCATCCCTCCTCCTAGACTACTAGCTATCTGGCTTGTCCCAAGTGCATCTTTTGCACAAGCAGTACACAAATGGTACGAAATGAAAGACTGAACAAGATGCATAATCTGGATGTGCGAGGGGGAAGCTAAATCTCGCTAGTCAAAAACTTAGGTGGAAGTTGCCAAGACCTCTTTAATCAGGGTTTATTACTTGGAGAGAATGCAACGAATCGAATATAGAGACTTTAAACTCATGTGACTGCAGTTTTCTATCATCATTGGGTCATAAAAATATGGTTAACTTTTTCACTCGTCTTGACAACACCCTAGACTTTGCACTCTGCACCTGGCATATATGAAGCCCGTAAACGAGCTCCGCTGCTAAATTCCGACCACTATATTGTTCGTGTTTTGCCCAAAGTGTACGGCAAATTATATTACATAAGAAAGCTTTCAAATACCTTTCCAGGAAAGTTCAATACGGATACTATTCACAAGAAATATTATGGAAACGGACTGGGATATATTTGCTGATGAAGTTTTAGACACACTATCACCAATATCACAAGCTATCTCAGGTTCTGTCTCGATATCCGCTGCCCTGCTGAAACAATTTACATGAGATTTGACAGACTTCCCTCTCCTCGTCTCAAGAGGCTCCGGAGAGAAAAGGAAAGGTTGTATAAGGCGAGAGATCACCCTGGCGTTAAAAGACTTAACTGCCTAATTAAGTCCGAAATACAACATCTGAATACTATATACAACCAGAAGTTCCTATCGTGTAAGAGCTCTTCCAAATATGGAAATTATTTAAAGAGCTTACTGGTAAAAAACAAATGACAAAAGAAACTCGTTCGGATGTCCGCACGTTAAACAAGTCATTTATACGTCGGCAAGCTAATTTCACCCTTCCTAATGTCCAAAGTCAAGTGGATAGCTGCTTTCCACGTTTTAATACAAATGATGTATTTAAATGTCCAAAGTCATTGAATCCCTCCTAAAGCTTAGGTCCTGATAGTGTTTCTAGTACTATATTTAGAAAATGTGCAGATATTTTGTCATCCCCATGCACATATCTTCAATGCATCGTTTCCTAAAAACATAATACCCACCACTTAGAAAGAGATCAAAATTCTACCTGTGCCTAAGTCATCCTCTGGATCAGATGTTACTTTCCGACCCATCGCTATAACAACCCCCCTTTCCCAAAGACAATGGAGAAATTACTTCTCCTTGTGATTGACCCTTCATTGATGGCTTTCAGAGATACAAAACAGTTTGCTT